ATGCAGCACTAAGTGTGTACTGGCCAAACACGTGGGGCCTCGCTTTGAAGCACAGCCGGATGCAGATTACGTGGTGTAAGACTTAAGGCAGTAAAGAAATCAAGGCAAATCCTTTCCTGGGGATCAAGGTTGGAGAGACAAAGATAAACTCCTAACATTACCTCCTACAGAGTTTGAATTCCATAACCGGGGAGAGAAAAATCAAATTATAGCTGGATGTAAATATTTCATTCCTTTTGTAGAAGGAAAGGATGCAGGGAGAGCTTGGCTTACGCTTCCTGAAATCACTGAATATTCAAGACGTGAATGAATGAGTGGAGAAGAGTGCAATTGGGCCTTAAAATAGCAGGTTTGGTACACCGCTGTTGCATGGCAATTACTGTAATAGCTTGTATCGTGCTGGATGAATCACAGATGATCTTGGTGTGATCTTGGTGCACCTGTCTGAGATTAGCGGGTTGTTTACCACGGCACACCTTTGAGGTTTCGCTCAGCCAGGTGATACGGAAGGACCTGCTGCTGTGTTGTAAGAGCCTGGGCTCCCCACCCAGCCCCGTGCCCACAGCCATTGCCTTAATACACCGCCCTTCCTTCGCCATCCAGTGCCACTATGGATCTGGTGGCTTTGAGGATCAGGAGGTTGTTGTTGCCCTGCTTGGAATATGACCTGATGTGCAGCCCAGCACTGGTAATGCAGCCATCATAGAGCCATAGAATGGCCTGGGTTGCAAAGGCCCACAGTGCTCATCCAGTGCCAACCCCCTGCTGTGTGCAGGTCGCCAACCAGCAGCCCAGGCTGCCCAGAGCCACATCCAGCCTGGCCTTGAATGCCTGCAGGGATGGGGCATCCACAGCCTCCTTGGGCAACCTGTTCCAGTGCCTCACCACCTCTGGCTGAAAAACTTCCTCCCCATATCCAACCTCATATCCAATCATAAACCTCCCCTGTCTCACTTTAAAACCATTCCCCCTTGTCCTGTCATTGCTTGGTTTTCACCACCATCAGAAAGCTGTTTTTTCCCCTCTTTGCCAAGCCTCAGTAACAAGCAGTGATGTGCTGCAGTTCCTTGTCATCTCCAACAAATCTGATGACTCTGAAAGACTGTATTCACGTCTCTGAAAACCAAACCGTGCAACTGATGGCAGGAAGGGGCATTCCCTCTGTTCTGCTGGGGTTTCCCAGCAGTGTACCAGTGACCAAGCCTGCCATGCAGCCGGGATGTGAAATACGGCGGGCTGAGATGCTGTGGCTGCAGGCACTGAAAGACACAGAGTGGTTGGGCTTGGAAGGGAGCTTTTGAGAGCATCTCAGCCAATCCCCAGTAGTAAAGGTGTTGGTGGGGACCAACTCCTGGGTCTCCTTAAAATCCCATTGAGCTTTGGGAAGTGGAAGAGTGTGAGCTTTGGAAAACCTAGCTCCCTTATGAAGCCCTGCTCTGAAAACAAAGCCCTGTAATAATCTACCTCTGGATCTGAAAGTGATTTACAGATGAAGTGTTTTCCAGATAAATGCCCTTTCCAGCCCTAGAGCCATATATATATGATTTTATTCCTAAACCAAATTAGGTTGTAAAGATTTTACAATAAATGTTTTCTTATTTCAGTTGTTCCATTTTTCTTTTTCCTGGCCCAGCTTCTCTGGGAGAGGCTGTTGCCCATCTATTATTTGAGATTTGCTGTTGAGTGCTGTGTTCTACTTTAAAGAAACTCAGTGGGAAAGTTTTTTTTCCAGCAAAAAGAGCCTGAAAATGTTTATTTTAATAGCTAATGCTTCGAATTTGAGAAATCTGGAGGTGGAAATTCCCATGTGAAAACCTCAAAACCTTTCAGAAATGAAAAAGAGGTGTGTTGTCTTCTTTTGGTTTGGAGTATAAAATAGTATTCATATCATCTTTTTTATTTTTTTTTAAATCTTTGTGTGGATTCAGTGAATGGAGCCTCATCAGAATGCTTAGTGAAGAATTAAGGAGCTGCTTGCAGATTTTTCCCAGTGAGGATCAGCATCTGACACAGTTGTGCCATTGCTTCGGCAACAATGGGATCCTTTATGCTCAGTGCCGTACTGTGTGCTTCCTTCCTTCCTGCACACAGAGCTCTGTTGTGAGAGCAGCAGAGCTGGATGTGTGTGCGTGAGCCCTGCAGAGCAACGTGGCTGTGTGACAGGTGTAAAACATAGGGGACACAGCCGAGGTGGAGACCAGCACACGATGAGCAGCTACTGCTGAAGTTTGCTTTTTGTTCTCTGTGCAGCGGTGATGAATAACGATTAACAGTTGTTGTGTTTAACAGGTTGAGTTTGAGAAAGTTCATTCCAAAAAACCGATGTTTGGCACTTCGTTCGTGGGTTGTCGACTCTAAAATGAGTTTAGTTTTTATAGTTGTGTGTCTTGCAGTTTGTGTCCTTTGTCATGACAATTAATTCCTGCAGTTTAAAGCCGCCTTGAGTTCTGATTGTTCAGATCCATTTTCATTAACTAACCATGCCTTTCCAACAGCCCAGCCTTTTCATTCATCTGGTTGGATCACGGATATCCGAAACATCAGAAATCCAAGGTGGAACAATTCAGTGCTATTTGGAAGTGCTGTTACAGCAAGTGAATGGCAGAAGTTGGTCCTGTGCTGTGCCATGGAATTGTAGAATGGCTTGGGTTGGAAGGGAGCCCAAGGATCATTAAGTTCCAACCACCATGCCAAGGGTGTCTGTTGGCATTTTGGTCAGGCCAGCCAGACTGGTGTGGTCTGGTGCTGCAGCAGTGGGCAGAGCATTAAAGCAGGCTTTGAGGATCTTGGATGGTAGGAACAAGAGAGCACTGGGATGAGTGGGAGACCGGGATGAGAGAGGCTGGAGGTGATCAGAGCCTTTGTTTGAGGGGATTTGCTCCCTGCATCACACTGCGTGCATGCTTACAGGGCTGCCTGTGGGTTTCCCAAGTACACTTGGTAATCAGCAGAGCACCCATGCCAGCACCCAGCATGGGTGATGTGGACCCCCTGCTCTGGTTATCTGCACGCTGCAGCTGCTGCTTTCCCTGCTGCTCATCTCGCTGTGCTGCAGGAGCTGCACGGCTGTGCCATCACCCACAGCCTGCCCTGCTCCAGCTGCAGGGGCGTTAGGAGATGATGGGCATTTCTGGTATTGTAGAAACACTGTTGGCCTGTAAATCTTCTATGGAAAAGGTTTTGAAACCAGCTTTGGAACATGGAGTGTTCCTGCCTGGAGGGGAGATTACTGCAAGGAGATTTCCCTTTAGCCTTCCTAGCTTGTAGCTGTGTTGGTCTAAGAGATGATGAATTCAGAAAAAATAAGGGAGGTGCTTGCAGATCTCTGCTGCTTTTCATTCTCCCCTGTGAGCACCTGGTATGAAAGTACTTCACATCTGACAGGCTGGGCATCTCTGCTTTCTGTTCCTGTGCTTGGGAACTCTCTGTGCTCTCTGTTGGCTTTTCTGTTTGGTTGTTTTATTGTTGTTTTTTTCTTTGCATTTATGTATTTAGTTTTCCTTTACTGTTTTTGCTTGTTTTTGCATCTATTGCTGCTTTTCCCAGCTGCCCCTACCAGCTGCTTTTGCACCATCTGTGTAGGAGCGGTTCTTTGAGTGGTAAAGCCTTGCTGCTCTTTTTCCCTTATCTCCTCTTTTAAGTCTCTCCTTCTGTGGCTGAGTGCTTCGCTTCCTTGGAGGGCTGTGTTTGTGTGGTGTGTACGTACACACGTACAGTGTTTGCGTTTGATTGAGGCTCTCCCCCAGCTTGTACTGGAAGTCAGTGGTAGGATTGCTTTCTTGGTCTTGGGTCTCAGCCAGTCCCATGGCCACAGCCCCAAAGGCACCGGAACCCACACACTGCTCTCCTGGATTTTCCAGAGATGGAAAATGGATCCGTCTGGAGAAAAGGATGCTCAGGGAGATCTTATCTATAGCTCTGTGGAGGGTGATGGTAGCGAGGTGGGGGTTGGCCTCTGCTGCAAGGCGACAATGACTGCATGAGAGACAATAGCCTGAAGTAGTGCCAGGAGAGGTTCAGGTTGGCTGTGAGGAAACATTTCTTTGCAGAAGGAATAATTCAGCAGTGGCACAGCTGCCCAGGGCTGGTGGATCAGCATCCCAGAGGTGCTCAGGAGCCGTGGAGATGTGGCACTGAGGGATGTGGGCAGTGGGCATGGCGGGGTGGGCTGGGGTTGGGCTTGGGGATCTCGGAGGTCTTTTCCAGCCTGCATGGTTCTGTGAAGTTCTGAGCTAAAATGGATAGTGTTGTCTCATCGTGCTTGCAGGTATCTGTGTAAGAGGAGAGTTCTTACTCCCTGCAGTCACAGTACTGGATCTGGGCATCAGTCTTGGTTTGTTGAAAAACAATAGGTGCCAGCACTCATTTTTGGAGAGAATTGTGTTTTATCACATGGACAACATGTGCTCAGCACCCAGCTTCCTCGTTTGGAGGTGAAACTAGAGTGACAGTGAAAACAACCCCCACTGAAGACTGGCTTTAATTAAGAAATGACCTCACTCTTTAAAATCGTCCTTTATGCTAATTGATACACAAATGGAGGTTTTTTAAGTGCAGTTCCCAAACAAAACAAAGCTCTGTGCAGTCAAGGCATGCGTGTGTGGTTTGCTTTCTCCTCCTTGTTCTGCGTCTTCTTTACAACTTTAAACCACCGGTTCCTATCGGTCAAATTGTATAAAGGAACACGAGTCTCAGAGTTCCTCGTTCTTTTTGAAAATACAGGGCAGCCACATAGAGAGGAGTATAAATCTCATTTTTAACCCAACACTAAATCAGTTTTGAGAATACACATCTTTCTGTCTGTTCCTTGCATCCCCAAACCCACTCAGCTCCGTGGGGAAGAAGTGGTGTTTCTCAGTGTGGTTGGGGTTTCCTTGTTGGGATTCCCAGCAGAGAGAGCATAACTTTTTTCATCGAAACACCAAACAGAGTTCCCCTCCCTCTTAGCTGCTGTCAGTTTGGGCTCTGTCGCATAAAAGAATCTCTTGTTTGGTTTTCAGAATCGGAGAAGATTCCCGTAATGCGTGGGCAGTGGTTCATTGATGGGACGTGGCAACCTCTGGAGGAGGAGGAAAGCAACCTGATAGAGCAGGAGCACCTCAACCGCTTCCGGGGCCAGCAGATGCAAGAGAGCTTTGATATGGAAGTATCAAAACCTGTTGATGGAAAGGAAGGTAAGATTACTTTTCATAACGTGTCTTCTGGACAGCTGGGATCTTCTTAACTAAGAACTGGGATGGTTTTCTGTAATGGAGAAGGTTGTAGGGTGCAGTTTGCTGCCCCCTTCTCCATTGTGTCTTATTGTAGGGTTTCCTGCCGTAGCACATTTGGTGAACACTGCAGAATTATACTCACAGATAGACCTCTTGTTCCCATTTTGCTTAATGTTTCATATCTTTTAATTGTGTTTGAAATCTCATTTCAAACTGTAATCACTTTATGGGCTAAGAAGTGTGTCAGTGTCTGAAGGCAAACTGGCTATTAGCTCTCTGGCCGGCGTTCCTAATTTCTGCCCTAAAGGGAGCATCCATTTTACAGATCACATTTCATTTTCCATTCTAGCTCAATCTGTGACTTTATTAGAGTAGTTTTCAGCCAGTCTGAAGTCTCGGGCATTCATTCAGTTATGGAAGTCCTTGTGTTTTACTCACCAGGCTGAGGGCGTTCAGTTAGGATTCTTGGCAATCTCAGTCAAATGCATTTAACCTCCTTAAGAATAGTCTTCTGAACCTACTGTGCAGTTGAACTGATTGCTCTGGGTAAACGTAGCACAGCAGAAGTTTATTATTTTTGGCTTTCACGCTTTGCTTTTGTGTGTTGGTTGTCACTTGTTCAACTTCCTCAAAGGAGCTGCAAGCACAGAGCCCTGGCAATACGTTTTAGTAGCATTTTGGGTTATCCTTTACAAAGCAACTTTGTGGTTTAAAGGAGTTTAAACAAAACTTTGAACAGAACAGTTGCAGAAGGTGGAAATGGTTGTGCTTTGGTGCAAACATGTAGTCCTCACGTGGGAACTGTGTGATCACACACATGAAACCTTGTAAATAATTTAGAAGCCGGATAGTATTCAGGGTAATAGGAAAACCAGAACAGCATTTTTTGACTCCAGGAGAATTGTTAATAATACAGAAAGTAGCAAAGTTCTAACTCCCTTCATAGCCAGCGAGGACAATGAACTGTCCTGGTTTTTATTTTGCATTTGTGCTACTTTAAAACTTCTTTTCATAGAATGGCTTGGGTTGAAAGGGACCACAGTGATCACCTAGTTTCAACCCCCCCCTGCTGTGTGCAAGGTTGCCAACAGCCAGACCAAACCATTTTTCCTCTGGCCAACCCTGCAGTAACCTTCTGCTTTAACAGCTCTGTCAGGTGGGTGCCTAAAGTCGTGTTACCTCTGACCCCCCAGCACAGTGCCCACAGCTTCTGAAAGGTGCTTTTACCTGGGTTTTGTTGTCCTGTATCAATTTATCATTTCAGTGTACTGATACAAATCCCAGTGTTTTTATTGCAGCTGTAGCCCTGCTGAGAGCACAGTGTCGTTTCTGGTTGGTCAGCATGAATTTGCTTGGAAAGCACATCCTTATGGCTGCTGAGTGCTTCCAGCCTTTAGTAGCATAATGTCTGTTGGAAGGAAGAGAAAATGCCTTCAGCTGCACTTGGGTTCACCTCATCGTGTAAGGAATGGGGCTCAGGTGGGCTTTTCTTCCAGGAAAAGTCTGGTTGTGGAACAGAAATATTCAGATCTGAATTGAGGAAAGGAATGGGAAAGATACAGTCCTTGTTATTTGCAGAAATGTAAGAGATCAGAGAGCCTCCAGCCCCCAGGGCCTTTTCTAAAGCTGAACTAAAACAATAACAGTGAGGCATGCAGTCACTTCAAAAGGGAGCGTAAATCACCAATAACTCTCTAAAGACTTTTTCCTAGAAATTGGGGAAGTTGCAGAAAAAATAATCAACAATAAGTGTGGGAAGTGGATTTTTCGTCTTAATTAGCCTCTCAAAACATTTCTGATTGGCTGAGATCTGCGATTTCCATCTGCACGTGGCGTGGGGAGAAGCTTTACAACTTGCATTATCACTGGTGAGGTAAACATCATTAGTTGGAGAAGTGCTGAGTTCAGCTTGAATTGCTTAATCGCTTTGTTGCTGCAATTTGTTGTCATCGCATCCTGTACGAAATACACCTCGGTCCCATCAAGGTTTACAGGTGACTGTTACATAAGGCTGATGAAAGCTAGGATGGACCTGTCGATACCACGGGGAGGCAAAATGGCTGTTCACAGCACTACGTTACAACCTTGTAAATGCTGAACACCTAGCAATCTTATCTGACCCCTCAGCAAGAGGGAAGGCAGTCTCTACTGATTTGCTGTTACTATGCCTGTTATTACGTAGGCATAATTACTTTATTATTTGATCATGCCTCCTTGCGTCACAAATAATGAATAACAGTGAGGCTCTTGCTGATACTCAGCTGCCAGTCTTGTCGGTTCCTGATTTTACTCCAGCTGTGCTTTAAAGCAGTGGCAGCAGGTTGAAAAGTTAAGAGTAGATTTCAGTTATTGGCTTTCTTAATTCTGCTCCCAGATTGAAGCATCTTAAGAAGAACATAACTAAGCTTTATCCAGAACTCTTGCTGGCGATAGATTGCCAATGAGTAATTACCCCACTATTAAACTGCTAGTCCAGAATGCCTTCCTTTGAAAGTGCACAATGTTTCAGAACAATGGTCCCCAAACTCTGTCCTGCAGGGATGATGATAATCCTCATCCTACTCTTCAGTGCTTATGGAGACCAAGTATTTAACTTCATGCACTGCAAAATGAAGTGCACTTTTGCTGCCTGATGTGTTTGATTCCTCCTGGCATCTGATCCTCGCAGTGGTCTCTGAGTGGTGATCTCAGCAGTGACGTGACTTCCTTGGGTGAGTCATTCGTTAGGTCAGAACTCCAAAATGGAGCACTTAGCTTATTTCTTGGCATCGTCAAAGCAGATTAATGTGAGCTTTGGTTTTTCAATATCCAAGTGATATTTGGATTTGAGATTTGGGTCTCAGAAGACTGAGTTCCAGAGCTGTGTCTGCTGCCTGTAGAAATCAGACAGATTTCTGATATTCCTGGAGGGATGGTGAGCACCTGCCATGCTTGCAGGAGGCCAGGTACCCTCACTAGAGATCTCTGAAGTGCAGCATCATGTATATGAGACGTTGGCAAGTGACAGCTGATCTCCCAGGCCACAGAGCAGGGTGTGTGTGTGTGTGTCTGTCTGTCTGTCTGTGCAGGATGTTCTCCTTCCTGCCCCAAACGAGACCAGAGGAATGCTACCAGAGCACCAGTGCAAGCTGAAGCTGCAAAGAAATCACCTCTCACCTCCTTAGCCTGGCTGCCCTCAGAGTTTGCTTTGATCCTGGCCAGATTCTGAACATGTTATTCAGCTCTAAGTGTAAGTCTGATTGCTGATAGAGGAAGAAACATCGCAATTCTGCCTATTAAGATGGGATAACCATTAGAGCTACAGGAGGAATCCACACTGAGGATGGGGAGCAGAGATTTGTCTGCATTTCTCTGACTGCTTTGTTGTGGAAGGGACTGTCTACAGCCTGTGCAAATCACAAATGCAATATTGGCAGATTCAGGACAGGATTCCTGTCAGATTCAGGATTCTAGCTTGCCCTCACTTATGTAGCTTAGAAATCAATTTTTTGAGCAGAAGTAGTCCTGTGCTGGTTGTACTGGGAGCTGGATGTTTGCTGCTCAAATCTTTCCTAAAGCAGTGTGTCTGACACCTTCAACCCCTCAGTGAGATGCTGCAGTGCTCAAACCGTATCTGTGGGTTACCACAGACTGCCAGCTCTGATTTTTAGTTCTGCCACTGTGCTGATAGGTAGGTGATGCTGGGGGCCTTTCGGGCCTCCCATTCATTTGCCCACGAGTTGATTAGGTTTCTTTTCATCCAGGCTTTTTTGATAAGGACAAGGACTTTGCTTGTCTTTCTTAGGGAAGGTTCATTCTTCGAGCTGAACGTACATAGATTTATACCAGCACAAGGTGTAAGGTGACATTTTGATCTAAATTCTTAGGTTCAAAATTTTAAATATAGATATTGACCATTGAAATATGAAACTAAGGGGTTTATTTGGTCACACTGAGATGGCTGCCACTGCCTTCCTGTAGCACTGCTGACCTTTCTTGTACCGTGCTTGTACCCACGTATTATGCTTAAATATATTGCTGTTAAATATCTCTATAAATATTTGAGGCCTTTATTATAACACTTGTTCTGTGAAGCGGCCTTTAAGGTGAAAACATTTTGAAAGGAATACAAAAAGGGAATTGTAATACCTCATTGGCAGACAGTAAGATTAAAAGGTACAGCATAAAGTAAGATTTAGAAACTTATTTTCATGCATGCTTAGACAGTGAGTTCAGGGCTTGCTCATCCAAAGAGCAGCATTCTCTAGCAACCCCAGTGATCTCAAGGCCTGTAAGATAAAAACAAAACCATGAACTTGGGTAATAGCAAGTTCTGAAAGGATCTTAGGCTAGATGCTTTGCTAACATCATTTAACCACAATAAAGGCAGGAATGTTCTGCAAACTAAGCGTTGCTTTTTCTCCCTTGCTGTGTGATGGAAGCCCACACATCCCCTGCTGTGTGCTCCTGCAGCACAGAGGAGCTGTTAGCAGGCAGCACAGCTCCAGCTGCAGAGAGGGAGGAGCAGTGTGTGCAATACAGAGCAGCCTGCCATTGAGCTGCAGGTTAGCTCTTAGTGCCAGGTGTAGTTGGGTACCTGTCTTTTGTTCCTCTGCAAGCTTTTAAAGAATATTCATTTAACTAGGGAGAAGTGATGCCGGAGTTTAATGTGTGTGACAGTAAAATAGAAACAGATGGTTAGGGAGGGAAGGTTTAGGTTGGATGTCAGGGGGAAGTTGTTTGCTGTGAGAGTGGTGAGGTGCTGGAACAGCTGCCCAGAGAGGCTGTGGATGCCCCGTCCATCCCTGGAGGTGTTCAAGGCCAGGTTGGATGGGGCCCTGGGCAGCCTGGGCTGCTCTGAAATGTGGAGGTTGGTGGCCCTGCCTGTGGTGGGGGGTTGGAGCCTCATCATCCTTGAGGTCCCTTCCAACTCGAGCCATTCTGTGATTCTGTAGCTGATTGTATTTGCAGAGAGGTGGCAGAGCATCTGTCCATAAAGATGCTCAGAATTCAGCTGGAAATTGCCAGAGCAACCTGATCCAAATGTGTATTAAATTCAACTGAAAAGCTGATCCTGTCTGTGGGAAACTGGAGCAGATAACCCCCAGCAAGTTCCTTCAATGGAAATCAAATCTGTGATTCTGTGAGAGGCTGTTAGGAATGTAGAAAGCAATCCCACAAGTCAGAATCAGAACAGATTTTATAATGCATTGATTTTGAAACCACATGAGTTTCTTGGGTTTTGCTATGGGCTTCAGTGTGTCATTAGATGCCACGAAAAGTATAGAAATTGTGTTTGGAATTTTTGCTGTTTTGCCTTAGACTTCAAATACAGTTTTCTCTGTTCATTAAAAAAAAAAAAAGCACATTAACAATAAATTTTTGTTGCAGCTGACTGTGCTAACCTTTAGTAAGGAAAGTCTCATTCATGCGGTCACAGAATTGCCAAGATCAGAAGGGAGATTGAGAAAGCAGCAGAGCCAATGAGGGCGGATTGCTCAGGATGTTTCCATGGGGTTTTGATTATCTCCAGCACAGGAGACTCCACAGCATCTCCATGGGCAGCCTGTTCCTGTATTGCCACAGCCAGCACAGTCCTCTCTCTGTAGGCTGAATTGTTCCATCGAGTCCCAGTGCAGGAATGATGAGCCTAGTTTTCCTCTCCTGTAGAAAACTGATGTGCAACAGTAATGTATGGTATGAAGGCATCTGCTGACAGAGCTGTGAGCTGAGAGTATGAGGAGGTGTGAGATGCCCTTGACATAAGCATGGAATATCACTTGTAAGTTACTGGGCTGGAGAGCATTAATTACCTCTAATGGCTGTGAGGGAGGGTGCCATGTCAGTTACATTTTCCCATTCTCCAGCAGGCAAACTGATTTCCAGTCGTTGCAGCCTCAGCAACTTTATGGATTCAGAAGCCCAAGTGGAGACTCTGATTTTTCACTGGCTTTAAGCACACACTCTCTTGACTACATAAGGTTTTTGAGGCTCCTGTTGTTTGCTTGCAATCTGAGGCTATTTCTACGAGTGCAGAAGGTGGGTTGGTAGGAGCTCAGCCTCAGGTTGCTGTGTGAGTGCCAAGGGAAGCAGCCACGTGCCTGCATAACTCAGTCTGCTTGGCAGCAGTCTGCCCTTTCCTTCAAGCATTCTTCTGTAACTGCACAGCACTGATGTGAAGGTAAGTCCGTGAAAAAGAATCTTTGGCACAGCTTTGTGGTGCTTCAGGAGTGAAGTAAGGCGGTGGGTTAACAGTGGGGTGTCTTTTCTAGTCTAACTTCTAATGATTCTCTTGCAGTCTTTGGGGAAAATAATAGAGCTGTGCTGAAAGATGAGTTGTTGTTTATTTTTCCAAGTGTTTGAGTCTGCTTAAAAGTGTCTTTGTTCTGCCCTGTGCCAAGTTGTGTGCTAATGCTTTGGTACACCTTAATGCAAAGGCACTCAGTGAAACTGCATACGCTGTCACAGCTTTCCTTTACTAACGCCCTGAGCTTTGTTGTGATGTCATAACTGTTTATGAAGAGCAAAGAGACTGAATTTGGCTAACGTGACCTGACACTCGTGCTACGAAACCACTTGAAGTGTATGTGCTTTTTCAACAAATGTATCAACTCTTTTTCTTTTTTAATGGTAATGTTAATGAAAAAAATGACACTCCTTTTAAAAATTTTACTTTGAAGCTCAGTGTTTTTACTTTTAGTTCTCTACTACCTCCCTCCCTTCTCCCTCCCTTCTTTGTTCAAATGGAGAGGATATAAGGAGAATTCAGATGCTGCATGTCTTAAACGAAAGCGTTCCCAAGGTACAGTAATTGTAGATATTTTTTTTCTTGTAGTACTCCTGGCATAGGAAGCTTTGCATTCTAGTTTGCTCGTATCAGTTAAATGTGCTAGAATTACGTGCTTCAATTTCTTGCACTGTGTTCTTGCCATTTCCCCCACATGGGAAGGAAAAACCACTGTGAATCTTAGGAGAAAAATAGCAGTGCTGTGAGTCGTAGAGAAAAGTAGATGCTAGCAATGTTGTGCTCTAGTTTTATTGTAATTGTTTGTGGATGTGATTAATGACTGTAAACTTTTGTTTCTTACACACTCGCTTTGTGGTTTGACTTTCTCAGTAAAGTAGAAGCAACACTTTTAGAATCTGTACAGGCCCAGCATAAGGGAGATTGTACTGGGGAAGGAACTGAATAAAAAGGCAGAATTTGGTTGGCCAGTCTTTGGATGATGGATGCATCTCTAGTTCTGTGTTGGAAGTTATTTTTACTGCAGCTTTTGTATCAATATTGGAATGAAGTAAGTCACCAGACATAGGATATAAAACAGGGAGGCTGTAGAGAATGCACCACCAAGGCTGCTGTAACACAGGAGGAACTTGGAGCTTTGGGACGGCTGATGTTGTGCCAATTTGCTTCAGAAGGTGGGAGTAGTTCTTACAGGAGCCTTTAAGGATTGCAGAAGGTTCCAAAGCACTTTATCACAGATTTTTGCCATTGTTAAAGCTGGCAGTGATTAAACTTGTACTGACCACAGTGACATTGGAACCAGACTGCTGCAAAATGCACCTCTGATTTAAAATGTCAACGCATCTGGTAGGTTTAGGGTTATTCCTGTCATAGCGTTTGTTTTTGTAGTTCCTAGGAGTGTTCTGAAGGATGGGGATCTACTTTGGCATGCATAAGTATTTGCCTTGGAATTCCTACCATAATGTTTTTCTGTAGTTGAGTCTAAAATGCAAATGTCTGAAAGCAAAGTGATGCATAGTAAACCATTTCCTGCCTCTTCTCACACATGGAACTCGAGTCTGTAAAAGGTGAAAAGCATTAACCTCTGTTGTAAAAAGTAAGAAAACTTGTAATCATAATTTTGAAATTATTTTATACATTATTCTTTCTCCAAATGATGTTCATTTGTAGCGTCAAATGGATCTGAATTAAGATTGCTTATTGGGCAATTAGTGATGTTCTTGTGTCAGAAGGTGAAAATACCTGGGGAAAAAAAAGAAGACAAGAATGGATTTCAAGCAGTGTAAATCTGTTCTCTGGTCTTTAGCCCTAACCAGAATGCCAGTGCCTTTGTGCAGCAGATGGAGAGCAGCTCTTAACACTTCAAAGATGCTTTTCCCTATTGATTTTGACTTGCATTGGCACTCTGGTGGGAAAGAATCACCCCATGCTTCTGTTTTGGCTGGTAGATGAAAGTGCCAACCTAAAACCAGGTGCTTACCTTAAAGGGTATTTAATTTTAAACTGCTGGCCCTGTCAGATGCCAGCTTCAGGTGCCTGTCTGCAGGTGCCTTCTGCTGGAAGTGTTTAGCTCCTGAAGCACTGGAGCCAGCGTGCTGTTGGTGCTGGCAGCACACCTGCAGTCTGCGCATCCCAGCTTCTCTGCAGGGTTTGTGCTGTGATGCTGCTCCTCAGTTATTCTCCAGCTGTTGTGGCTTAAGTTGAGTTTCTGCTGTCTAACTGAGATCAGGTTCTTCAAAACTGCTTTAGATTTTCTTTCTCTCTTCGTTCTTCATATTTAAACTTTATGCAGGGGCGTTTTCCTCTGTGCTCATCTGCCTTGGTGAAACTGGAGATTTGTGTGATAGCAATTCCTTTCCTATCCCTCACACTTCACCTATAGAATTACAGAATCGTTCAGGTAGGAAAAGACCTCTGAGATCACCAACCCCAGCCCTCCATGCCCACTGGCCACATCCCTCAGTGCCACATCTCCATGCCTTTGGAACACCTCCATTGACCCCACCACTCCGTGTGCAGCTCTGCCACTGCCTGACCTCTCTGCCTTTCAGAGAAAAAAATCCAACCTGAATGTCCTCTGGTTCAATTTAAGGCCATTACTATGCTTCTCTCTGCTGTCTTCCATCTGCAGCTGGGCTGTGGCTTCCATCTGTTTGTACTCTAGGTGTCTGCTTGGGGGGGAAAAAAAAAAAGGAAGTTTAATTTCTCTTTCCTGGATGCAGAAGAAACCAAAACTCGATCTCATTTTCAGAGGCTTTGGATTTTAATGCCAAACTGGAAAACTGAGCAGCGTGCAGAGTACTGAGGGGTTTTGGCAACAGTGGAAGGGGCATAGGCAGAGATTCCTGCTAAGAAACCTGTGTGTGTTCTTAACATCAGAGAAGGTGCTCATGTGAAAACAGAGCTGCAAGAAGCCCGATCCAGAGGGATATTCCTGTCCCGTGGCTTTGTCAGGAGATGCTTTCATCTTCTGTGCAATGCACACATACAGCATGCTCCTGGAGGACCACGAGTTGGAGGTATGAACGTGGAGGGCATTCCCCTGTGCCCTGCCTGCTGCCTGATCTGAATTCTGCAACTTGATCCCGTCTGCTTCTTCAGTGAAACCACAGCATGGCTCGGTGACTCTGACACTCGGTGACACCTGTTGGTATGAACAGCTCCAGATCACTTTGACCACCTCTGCACCATGTAGGTGGATTACATCACAGCCTTTGGGTCTGAAAAGAAAATATGAATTGTTATCGTCTCGTCTTCAGGAATATATAATTCTCTCTTCTTTGGGTTCAAAATAACAACGGCAGCGTTTGTTATCCCATATCTGGAAAACGTTTACATTTTTTTGGTTTTGTTTTCTTTTTAAATGATTATTTTCACACTGCTATCAAATCTTTTCCAAAGACATGTTTGTTTCCTGCCTCACTGTTAACAAACTCTGCGAATGTCAGCAGTAAAAGCCCCTTTTACTGGGGCTCTTGATTCTCATGAGAATCACAGAATCATAGATGAGCTGTGTTGCAAAGGAGCACAATGCTCATCCAGTTCCAACCCCCTGCTGTGTGCAGGTCACCAACCAGCAGCCCAGGCTGCCCAGAGCCACATCCAGCCTGGCCTTGAATGCCTGCAGGGATGGGGCATCCACAGCCTCCTTGGGCAACCTGTCCCAGTGCACTGAATTTTTCATTTTAGGAGATTTATATTCTTGTGATGGACAAGGCAGCAGGATGAACTGACATCCCAGTATTTCTGAGAGTCAGAACTGGGAGACAGACAGTCTCACCCGATCTCAGAAAGAAGATGCGATGGCGTATGGAACAGATGCATTAATCCTCAGGCAGACTGTTCAAACAGTGCATCCCAGGAAGGAAAACTGAGAAACAAGAACCACTTTTTAAAAAATTTTCTTTTGGGTGTGATGGAGGAAAGGAAGGATGTATAATCCAAGTGCTGAAAAAGATATATTTACATATATTTGTATCTGACCTTGAATGCAGTGTGTGTCTGCCTTGACAACGCATCTCAGAGAGGTGAGTTATTCTGTTCCCAGGAGACAAGGCAGCACAGTCCTGAGTATTACTGATAGTTTCACGTGGTGCTGTTGTTAGAAGCAGACCCAATTTTTCAGGTTCCCTCTTGAATGCATTGCTAAATATCCAGAGGGACAGTGTTGGATGTTCATTTGCAGTTCCTTAGTGCATGCATGCATAGGTTTTAGTTTATTTTGTTGTGTCCTTCAACACAGATAATTTTGAAGAGTATAGGAGTGGAAGTTAGAATTTATTCTTTCCATATGAGAATAATTAATGCAAAATCAAGGAAATCTACCACTCCCTGTATTTCCTTCCCAATGGAGAGGCTGGCCTTGATTCCAGAAAGCATTTGAGAATTGCTGCTCCTCACAGTGCTGTTCTTCCAATGGTAGCAAGCAGTTGAGCCACAGACTTCTCTGCTTCTTCCTGTGCATGTGTAGAATCTCGGGCATGATGTTCTGCAAAGGCATCGTGCTTCCAGCCCTGCTCTGTCAGCTTCCCCAGAAACGTATTGAGAGAAGGATTTCACAGCACTCACGTGGAATAAACCTCTGCTGTTAAAGACCTGCTGAGTGGATGCGTAAAAAGTCTACGATGGTCCTGGATTCATGGGCAGAGGAGTTAGCAGCCATCCAGAAGGAAGCCTTTGCCCCTGGGCTCTCACCTCTCAGGACATCACAGCCCGTTGCGTTGACTCCACGTCTGAAAGAAGTTTTGCTAGGAATTTCCTTCTCTGATTCTAAACTGAGATCTCTGGATATGGGCTTATCTCTTCACCTGCAAGGGTATTTAAGAAAAATCACTTTGCTTGTTCATTGGGTTCTTGCTATATTACTTCTTGCTCTGGCCAGTCATCAGCCCAAGCTGACACATCTAAGCCAGGCTGGCTTCCCTCCTTGCTCTTTGCCACTGTAGAACAGCAGTGTAGTTCTACTTTTTGTGGATCAGCTGTTAACTATGGCAGAAAGGGGTAATCCTTTTCTAATCTCCTTGTTTCTCAGAGACTTAATTTAGTTTTCCTCAGGCTATTTTGGATCTATCTGACTTGGAAAAGAAAGAAAAAAGGCTTCAGGGGAAACGTCACACGACATTTAATTAATTTGTGCTGGAAGAAAGTGAAAATATGAAACCGTGATGGCTCGTGCTTTCTCAGAATGGTTTTTGACTACAGAAAATTAGAGTAGCTTCAAGTAGAGGACAGACTGGAGCTGAGCTTGTTATGGAAAAAATAACATAAAACCCTTCTGAGTGTTTTCCATGGCTTCACAGCCTCTTTTGCAAGACCCACATGTGGTTAAAAACATTCTCTTTTCGTAGGGCTATTGCTGTTAGCTGTCAGCTCTCCAACTGCTGAATGTTGCACGTTGGATGAGACCTAAGCAGCAGGTTTCCAAGCACAGGTGATGTCCGTGTTGTTGGTAATACAGCAACCGTGATGCTGCTTTGTACGCAGAGGCTCGGATGGGAGATTCTGACTTGCATTATTACGTGCTGTGCTTAACCCCAACAATCAGGCAGTGTGTCACGAGCTTGGTTCCTGAGTTCAATCAGTTCCAAATCTGGAAAGCACAATCACTGCACAAAAAACACTAGAGCTCTTAGGAGCTTTTGAAAGAGCAAAATTCTGTTCTGTGCCAGAAATTACTCATTCAGAAGCTTTCTCACTGAACCACATTTTCAGCTCCTGGACGTTTCTGAAAGAATAGCAGAAGCAATAGAGCCTTCTCATAATGGAGCCTTGAAATCCTCTGTGTTACTCTAATGCCCTGGTCGAAAGCAGGGATCCCACTGTATGGCTGCAAGAGAGAGAAGGTAGGAGTGCAAGTGCACTTTCCTAGCAGAAGCGCCTCAATCAGCAGTATTGTGGGGGTGCATCTCCCTTCCCCCCTCATTCTTTGCTTTCAGTTAAGGATATGCTTTAGAAGCCTACCAGCCCAAAAGCAGGGTGCAGGAGGATGATGTGCAATGTCCTTGGGGATAGTCTCCAAACTGCTCTTAGTTCTGGTCAGATTAATCCTAAATGTAAAAGCTTTCCAAGGTAAGAAGTAGTATGGATTTAGGTATAATAGAGCACTAGCTATAAATGTGTGGTGTGAATTACCCTTCTCTCTGTTTGAAGAGCCTTTTGTTTTCCCCTTACCCATCTAAATTCAATGTTGTTCCTTTTTGCTGCAGCTATTCATAGTCTAAAGTTGAGTCGCAACCATGTGGACTGGCACAGTGTGGATGAAGTGTATCTGTACAGTGATGCAACGACATCTAAAATTGCAAGAACTGTTACACAAAAGTTGGGGTTTTCCAAAGGTAATATTTCTCAGAGTTTGTAAAAAATATTGCAAATATCTGTATCTGAAGTTTTAATGTGTGACTGGCCCCTTTTTGCTGGTGGGGTTTTGCAGGGGGGTGTAATACGTTCCTTAGGTTGCATAATTGTAAGTAGACATGGAGTATTTTTATTACTTTTGTTCCTTACTGCTTTGGAAGCAGCAGTTTTCATATCCTTACTGCATAATGCTGCTACTACAGTGGCAGTGCCTAACAGCCACAGTGTAAGAATTGCAGTTGCTTTTGCAACCTTAGCTTTCTCTCTGTGCACTTACATACTGTGATGCTCTCCTTAAATGCATGGTTGTGCCTCCCCCTCTTGCCAGCTTTGGCTTTTTTCAGTTCATTGAACAGACCTGTGAACTGAGAGGAGGGGTGAAGCAGTTAGATCTAGATGGAAAGCATTTTCTGTAGGAATCCAGGCTCATTTAAGCTCAAAATTACCAGTTTTATAACCAGTGAAGCTGAGACGGTTATGAGAGGGGATGTTCCTCCTCAAATAAAGGCAGATTGTTGTCCATCTGGAATACTGGGACGTGTCCTCCCTGCCATGCTGCTCCTGTGCATGACTGGGCAACTACAAAAACAAGAAGAGGCACAAGTTGCTTTTGTTTTCCTCCTTGGTCTCTGAAGGTCTGGCTTTAATCTGATGCCTCAGTTCTGTAATTACTGCCCTCTTAACCCACAGGGCTCTTGGGTGGATACTTAATTAACGTTTGCCAAGAATTAATATACTTCAAGGCTGTTGTTGCACGAGTTTCCAGAAGAGATGAAGTATTCTGTATCCACAGTGTGATTTTGGACAGCATGAAATAGATAGTTTGGAAGGAGAAATAGCAAATAGAAGTTCCCTTGATAAACCTGTCACGTATAAGAACTGCTCTCACTGTTTTTGTTGTGTTTTCCTCCTCCTCTGAAACAAAATGAGTTGCTTCTTGCTGTTTTTTCCCCATGAGGAATGATGCTGCCTTGCTCTGTGTGGCATCCGAAGGGCTTTGCTGGATGCCTGCTTTTCTGGTGTTGCACAGCTGGCTCACATAGGAGGCTGTTGCCTTCTGTGTGGCTCTGTCACTAGAGGGGGATGAAGCCACGCTGTGCCTGTGGGTTTCAGCAGCCACCTGCAGGGCAATGAGAGGATACCCATACCTGCCTGCAGAATTGATTTTTCCTTTGACCACTGAACTGGAGAATGCCTGGGGAAACGTGGGGTTTAATTGGCTGGAAAAACATGTACAGTTTGTCACTTACTAGGAGAAATCTAAAGCTTTTCAACCACCTCCTCTAATGCTATCAGAGATTGAATGACAGTGAGTTCCAGTTTTATGGCGAGATCGTTTCAGTGATCACCTGCTGGGGGAGTAAGGTGGAGATACAGGGAATTTTAATGGCTGAGGTACGGAGAAGAAGAGCATTATGTAATAAAAGTTAATGGACAATCACACAACTGTTCTCTAAAAAAGTTGTTTTTCAAACCAGCTCTGAAATTGGTTCTCTTTACGTTGGAAATGGCCTTCTAATGCACTGACTGACAGAATTAACGTCACCTTGTTGCTCAGATCTCTCAGGAGTTGAAAGCTGCAGACTGTTCAAATACGTACCAGTCCTTTCTGTATGATTGTATTTTCAGAATACTTTTTAATGTATTGGTCTCAGACAAATTAAGCTTCTGTAAACATGTAAGAGCATTGCATTTCATAAAATGTAACTGATCTAGGATCATGTTTTTTCTACAGCTTCAAGTAGTGGGACAAGGCTACATAGAGGCTATGTAGAAGAAGCTACCTTAGAAGACAAGCCACCACAAACTAGTCACATTGTGTTTGTTGTGCATGGTATTGGGCAGAAAATGGACCAAGGAAGGATCATCAAAAATACAGCTATGTGAGTCCTTCATTATGTTTGCAGTAGCAACTCTAACCTGAATAAAATGCTGACATTGTAAATGACAGCAGATCCTTCAGTTTAAGCTGTCTCTCTTCCTATTTCCTTCTCCCCCTCCACCCCTGAGTCATTACTCTGTATACTGTGGGTGCATTACTTTCTGTTAGCTCAACTGTATGAGCCTAAGGGAAAGCAGCTGCGGTCAGGAAGAGCAGGGATGTATTTTGTTTTCATAACCAACACTTCTGACTTCTAGGGGAATGTTTAGTGAATTTCTAGCACCAGTGCTCAGTGACTTTGCCAAGTGAGGGAAGATTTTCATTTGACCAAAATCCATTGCTCCTGCAGGTTGTCAGAGCAGTGAGCAAGTGAAGTGCGTGCTGGTAAGAGTGAAAGTGAGGAGCTAGAATGAATGCTGGCGTTTGTAACGGTGCCCAGTTACTTTATATGGTGGGAAGCTGTTGCTGAGAATCTGCTCGTTGAGTTCATGGAAGCCTGATGAAAAGCAACACATAATTAAGTGCTTTTGGGGTCTTTTCATTGTAAGTCTTTTGTGAAGCTTGGTTTGCAGATGGGTTTTGATTTGACATCCGAGCTAACTCAGGAGGCTGCTTACAGTGCTGGTGAATAGGAGGACAAAGTCCTGAGTTACTGAGAATGCTGTCCCTGAAAATGGTTCTGTTGAATATTAGGAGTGGTAAACTCCTGATGACAGAACTGAGGAGACAAGCTGGTGTTAAGGAATGCTTGATTAGCTGAAAGAAGAGGCTAAAATGTGTTAACTGCAGATCTGCGTTGTGCAGATGGTCCCAAATAGTTCCACGTTCCATCAAAGTCAACAGCAGTAGCAGTGTGCCCACTGCCTCTAGAGAAAGTGGGATGTGGAGTTGATTTCATGGTAAGAGTTTTGTGAGCCTCCCTTTAAACCCAGAGCAGCACCGTGGGTCAGTGCTTATGTGAGTGTCTGAGCTGCCATTGCTCTGCTGTGTCGGCAAGTCTTGAGTTCCTGCAGCTCACTGTTCTACTCTAAATTTCACTGCTTTCATTTGTCATCTCAAAGCAACGAGCTGCTATTTCCTGCTCTCCTCATTCTAGCGCTTCACTGCTTTTCTTTGTGGTGTTTTAGGAGCAAGCAGGCAAAAACACTGAGAGAGAAATCCACAGCCCTTGATAAAAACCTGAAGCTGGTCACCAAAATATATGTAAAACTTTTTGTTTTTTTAGAAGCCAATTGCACTGGTAATGCAAAGGTCCTAAGTATGAGTTGCTGGTTTAACAGCCACAGCAATCATTAGTCATTCAGATTTTTTTACTTTTTCTTTCTACTCCGTTCTTCATTGAAAATGCATATGGGATTTGTGTGTGTGAATTAATTTCAGCTCAGGACAGGGTGCACAGGTGTCCATTCCACAAGAATTCTCACTACAGATGGCAGCACTGAATATGAAATCACAGCATCCTAGAATGGCCTGGGTTGCAAAGGCCCACAGTGCTCATCCAGTTCCAACCCCCTGCTGTGTGCAGGTCGCCAACCAGCAGCCCAGGCTGCCCAGAGCCACATCCAGCCTGGCCTTGAATGCCTGCAGGGATGGGGCATCCACAGCCTCCTTGGGCAACCTGTTCCAGTGCCTCACCACCCTCTGGCTGAAAAACTTCCTCCTCATATCCAACCTAAACCTGCCCTGTCTCACTTTAAAACCATTCAAACAAGAGTTTTTGTGCTTCAGCTCATTTCACTCTGGTCTCAGATTCCCTCAAGAAATATCAGACAATCAGATGGTACTGCATAATGCTTTAAAATGCTGGTTATTGGCATAAATCGTGTAGTCTGTACAAAACCTGCAAAGGAAAGCATCGTGTTAGGTGGAAATTATTGATGGGGAAGATCCCATATGTTCTAGGAAGGGATTTTAAAAGAAATGTCTTCCAGGCCAATGCAGTGGCAGTTCTCACAAGCCATACTAACTAACTTTCTGTTAGCACTTTCATCTGTGATATGACTGTGTATTATTTTTACTTCTTTTTTTTTAAACATTCTTTTGCACCAGGGACACAAAAAGCCAAATGCTGCCTTCTGAGAATGGATAAGGACAGGGAGATGTGGTTTTTGACCTTTCAGACTTCTATGATTTAAGGAGAAAATATTTCAGTATTATTTCCTTTAAAATGGACATGATTTTGAAGGAAACCTAGTTGCAGCCATGCTAACTGTATAACATAAGTCATTGCCCATCGTTGTCACCATTCCTCCTTTCTTCCCTCACCAACATCTGGGTACTGCCAGCAGCTGCAACACATTAGCAGCCCTTGGAGCTCATCGGTGGACTGCGTGCAGCTTTGATGGGCTTGTATGTCATTTGGGATATTGATGTTCCAGTGGGGGAATTTGGCATACAGCCTGGGAGAGATCCAAGGCAGGTTAGAGGGAACATGCAGGTCAACCACCAGCCTATAAGCAGATGGACTCTCATGGTGTCTCTTTTCCTAGGCCTTTAGGAAGTACCCAGGATGCTAGTTTAGTGTCACACTACATAGTTTATTACACATTGGGATGCTGCTTCAGGCATGAGAAGGTGGTGGCCGTGTCTTTGATATGCAAGTAGTGCCTGCTGTAAGCTGTTATCCCAATATTCAGGTAGGTAGAAAGAAGCAGCACACTCCATGATGCCTTTCATTGGTTTGGTATGGTGTTTGTGGGGTCTCCAGAGGGAGATCTCCCTTCTCCCAAACCTCTCTTCTGCATTATATCTTTGCCACATACACATATAATGGCATCTTTCGGATTCAATCAACCCTGGTATAAAACCTTTGTATTTTTTTCAGCCTGTATGAGAGCAGCACTTCCATTCATAGCACAGAACTGTAGCCCCACTTGAGCAAGTGGCCTTAAAAGAAAAAGAAAACTAAGTACAAAAATGCAGCTTATAACTCAGATGTGGAATTCTCTGCCTGTAACGCAGTGGATTGAGAGACACAACCAGAGCTCATTTGATATGCTGTCCTCAGATTACTGCCTCAAGAAGAAACTGGTGCACCTCCTGATGTAGCTGCATCATTAGGCAGATATTGTTCATCACAGAGCTGAAAACAGAACTCTGTTTCCAGGGTAATTTAAAATTGTATGCACTAATTTCATTAAGAAATAGAGTTCAGTCCGCTCATTAATGTGGTTCGATGCTAGGGTTGCAGGCTGTCCTGTAAGTAGGTAAATGGAAAAGATGCATTCTGTCAATGTTTCAGTGAATATGTCGCTGGGAGATGTGACATGATTTTGTTTCTGCACGGTGCAGTTAAACACATTTATTGTCTAAATGTAGCACGGCAGCTGGTACAACAAGCTGCTCCTGTCAGTGCTGATATTAACAGCAAGACTCGTCTGAGAAGAGACAGTACCTCCTCCAGGCTGGAACAATGATTCAGCTGACCTACTGTGAGCAGAATAATGAGCTGTGAGTTGGTCCAGCAGAAAAGGAAATAGTTTTTTTTTTTTAATGGAAGAAGATACAGTATTCTGAATTTCTGTGTAACATAAACCAAGATAGGATGGCTTAGTGTACTTTGCTGGCATTTTTTATTTCCCATCAGGTGCATTATTCTGGTGTTACGTGACTTCTGGTACGAAGCAATCTAACATTAAAAAGTAGGAATAATTTAAAGCAATCCTGTTGTCTTATTGCAGATTGATCCTACCATTTTCTAAATTCCTGTGCTTAAAAATTGAATGGAGTAACTGCTCTGCATATTTCCACAACAGCTGTGATGTTACGATGCTTCTCGATTGCTCTTTCTCCAGGCCTGGTGTCTGTCTGCCTCTCTTTGAATCTCTTGTTTTGATTCAGATTCCTATTTGCCTTTGCTGCTGCTCACAGCACAAAAATTGCTGTCTGTGCAATCGCATCATCTTGGTACTGCATAGTCACCAATGACGTTTTTATTGCATGTCCCATTAGTAAGCTTTTTAATTGTGGATTGGCATTATAATAATTACTTCAGAATGGCTATTTTGGTAAATTTCCAATGATATGCAAGCCCTTGCAGAACACAGAGCCTCTCAGAGGCCTTCCAGTGCCTTTAAATGTTTGCTGCTTGGATCTTAAATCGAGATTTCCTATATGCTTCTTTTTGTAAGCTTTTCAGGTATTTGGTTGTTGTGTTTGTTTTCCATTTAAAAGCTTACATTGCACTGCATGCACATTACATGTTTGTTTTCCATCCTTTGGTGCTGGTAATAACTGCACGTTCTTCTGAAATTAAGTATGCAAATGGTAATGGTGGTTGTACCAGTCTCAACTCGAGATTTCTTTGGAAGGCAGATGAGAAGTTCAGCCCGAGAGGTAAAAGGTGATGGTTAGGGTATTAATACTCCTGCAGGAGCTTGTTCTGTGCACATTAATGAGTTATCTAACACGTGACTGCATGTTGGACAAAGCTACAACAGTCATTACATGCATCTCTACACACATCTGTCCTTCCCTTCTCCCCAGTCCTCTCTTCTGCCCAAAACTGCACTTACACTGCTGCTGACTCTGTGCTCCTGCTGTAATCCAGATCAGTGCAGTTACCAAGGAGCTACGGCCCCATCCACAACAAGGGAGAGAGCAGTGAGGAGGCAGGGTAGAGCAGCAGAAGCAGGGAATGTCTCATCTGCTTTGCTGCCAAAACCAGCATCTCACAAAGAGCAGCCCTGCTGTGCCAGGCAGGGAGGCACTCGGTTTGGAGTGCCTGAACTGCACCTCTGCGGCCTTCTCTCGGCGATCCTGTTGTCATAACCTAGAATTTTGGGTTCTTTTGATCATGCAGAGCCCCATTAATCTTGAAAAGGATGAAGTATGAATCACGATTATGTTCACTTTGTCTCCTAGAATTTTCATCTTTCTTCTGAAGTAAAATGAGTCTCCATATGTCCTAGAGCAGCACTCTGAATATTTTAAGGCCTGAGCGCAGATGAATCCCTGAAGAACAGTGGCAGAGGACAACACGTGTCTTACAGGTGCTCTTTGAAGTCTGCCTTGAATAAAACTGGAGTTTGCATTTCTGAAATGCAGCTGAGCTTTTGAACGTGCTGTCCCTTTCATTTCCCCTGGCTTCAGCAGCACTCAGTATTTATTGCTCATGCCCACTGCTCTCACTTGACTTAGCAGACATAGCTTAAGCCAGCGCCGTGTTTTCCCAATAGCTTGTGGTATTCTCAAGGAGGCTGGGAGTGCTGAGCTCTATTTACGGAGCTCCAGAGTGGTGAAACCAATGCAGGAATGCTTTTGGAGCATAATGCGTCTCCTATGAAGAAAGGTTGAGGGAACTGGGCTTCTTTAGCTTCGAGAAGAGAAGCTCTGAGGAGACCTCAGTGTGGCCTTCAGTACTTGAAGGGAGCGGATAAACAGGAGGGGA